GAGTTTGAGGACTACGTTTAAAAAAAAAAAAAAAAAATCTGAGCATGGTCTCATGAATTTGCAGGCTTGGTAATGGTGAGGCAGAGGCAGATGGACCCTGGGGCTCACTGTCAGTTCATTTCTAGTCCATTCCAGTCAATTCGAGGGCAGTGAGAGACCTTGTCTCCAAAAACAAGGTAGAGATCTCCCACAGAATGCCACCTCATGCTTACCCTCTGACCTCCACCTGCCGTCTCGCACATGTGCATGCACACCCATACATGCACGCATAAGCAGAGTCCAATGTTCTTTCAACACTTTTACTGAAGAGCCTACTGCAGAGCTGTGACATGGATTGTTTTAGCAACTTCACTAGTGTCTCCTGACACCAGGATACAGGACAGAATCAGGACCCAGCTCCCTTTGTGTGTGACTAGTGTGAGCACATAAGGCCGAGATTCATGTTTAGTCCCGCACAGACTTCTTTCTGCAACTGAGCATCAGTTTATATTTCAGCTTGCGTTTCCCCAGTGAAATGTCACTGCTACCGTGTCACATTGTTCCCTCAACACCAGGATGCAGTTGTTCCCTCTCACCTCTACCTATCACTTCATCTTTGTCCCTGATGGGAACGGTCAGGGTGTCTTCAGAACTTGTGATGGACCCTGCAAAGAGCCCAGGCAATTAGGAAGGCTTGTGTGGCCCAGTGTGGCCCAGTGTGTTCCCATGCCCAAGGAAACACAGCAAATAAAAATTCCTGGCAGCTTTTCCCTATTTTTGTGACAAAACGCCTGCATTTTTGCTGTGTGCTTGCCTTTCAAATGATGCAGGAGGCCCTGACCCAAGCTCACCACTGTCACTCTGGAGTTCAGATAGCAAGTCTGACCAAGCTAGTCCTGGAGGCAGGGGGACACGTGTAGGTCAGCTCCACTGCCGTGTGGAAGACCACGGACTGGGAAGCTCATACTGGAGGTTGGACGTCTGAGTTCAAGAAGCCCCCAATGCTGGGTTTCTCCTAAGGCTTCTCACTGGGTGTAAAGGACACCCACATGCGTGCTCTCCCGATATCTCGATATAAGACCGTGGAACCATGACCCATCTCATTCCTTCTTAAGTCTCTCCTTTAGATCTCATCTCCAATTTTTAGTCCTATTGAGCATGGGGCATAAATGTTCAGTCCACAACAGGGTCCTAGACTATCCCCAAAGAGCTGAAGGCACACAGGCATGGAGCATGGGTTTCTGCTGCCCTCTCTGTGGGTAGAGAATGCTCTTTCCTGCCCGCAGACGGAACCCACACTCACAAGCTGGTAGACAGGGAGAAGTGGTATGATCAGGGCAGATTCCTAACAAGAGTGTGGAAACTCACTCAAAGCCTATAATGTAAGTATGTATTAGTATAATGCATGGGAAGTAATTTGGCTGTTTTTTTGTTTGTTTGGTTTTTTTTTTGTTGTTGTTGTTACCTGTATGCATGTGTGTCTGTGTTGGGGTATGTACAAGTAAAGGCAGGTGCCTATGGAGACCAGAAAGTGCTGGATCCCTTAGCGCTGGAGTTAGAGCAGGGAAGGAAATAAAGAGAACCAGCATGGACTATGCAATGTGTAACGGGTACTTATGGTACCGAGGGAGCCTGGAGGACAGCATGGGCTTTGCTTTGGCATGCCGACAGGTACCGCAGATAGCCGTTTGTTCCTTCTGCTGATGAGAAAGGAAATGGCTTCTTTTGATAGAGAGAAACTGAGGAATTCTAGATTTTGTCTAACCAGTAGGATTTAGGGAAATGGAGTTTCCTTGGGACCTAATAGTTGTGAGCTGGGAAATGTGGGTGCTAGGAAACAAACTAGGGTCTTCTAAGAGCAGTGTATGCTCTTTACCGCTGAGCCATCTCTCCAGCCTCCTGGTGGTTGTTTTTTGTTTTTGGTGTTTGTTTGTTTTGAGAGTAAAAAAAAGTCTATATCATTTAGCCTACTAATCTAACTTCTGGGAACTTGCTGACTTGCTGTTAGGAAAAAAATTTCAAAAGAAACAGGGAAAGATTTCTATGTTTATTTATCAAGTTTGAAAAGGGGAAATCACCAGGAAGAGATTGGATCAGTTACAATGTGACCTCGTGTTATTGCAAAATATGTCTTTGTTCTTCACTCCCTCTCCTGGCTCAGGTCTGATAACCCTTCCAGAATCTGCACAATAATATCACAAATGTGTCTCCTGGTATGACAATGAAGTGAATGATGGTTGGCCCTCAGGGGCTTCAGGAATGGTGTCTGGTCACCAGAAAAAGCAAGAGACAATTGGGACAATTGAGATTTTTTTCAGTCCCAGCTGTGAGCGCATGCACGTGCGCACAACACACACACACACACACACACACACACAGAGACAACAAACACACCAACCTTTAGGAAGGAGAGGGGCTGAAGATGGAGTGCCCAGTGATGTTTGTTGTAATTTAAGGAAAGCAGTGCTCATTGGTATATAAAATAAGGTTGGTTTTAATTTAAATAAAAATTTATTTAAAAGAAGAAAGAAAGGAAGGAAGAAAGGAAGGAAAAGAAAGAAAATCAGTGCTCTAGAGGAAGACCCTATGCAACAGAGTTCAAGCAGAGGGGTTTTTATTAGGGAAAGGCATCATGAAAAGGGGAAGGGGAGTGGGGAGACGGGCCTCTGGAGACAGGAGAGAGAAAAGATGGGGACAGAACAGAAAGAGGAAGGGGGAAGACAGACAGAGAGGGAGAGAAAGAGAGAAGGATGGAGGTGGGCAGGCCCCTTTAAAGTGGCACATAGTGAATATGCACAGGTGGTGTTCTTAGTGGCTGCAGCTGAGGGTGTATCCTGTCAGAACCCCCAAGGACAGGGCAGTACAGATGCCTGAAAACTAAAAATGTCTACATAAGGAACCTTCTAAATCTCAAGAGACTGAGTTTGTGATGCTTCTGAGTAGCTAGATGACATGACAAGGAACTTGGGTGCTCCTTGCACCCACATTGGGCCACTGACAACTGTCAGGTCCAAAGACAACTGCCTGCTGTGCCCCAAGCACATCTTGCTGTCCATCTTTGGTAATACACTCTATGATAAATCATTAAACATAATAGCTTCCCTGGATTTTCTATCCAATGAACTAATCCCAAAGGCAGGTTTCTGGAAACCGAATTTTGTATCTTACCAATCAGAAGCACAGATAAAACAGCCCTGGGCCTGGGGCTGGTAATGGAGGTAGCATATCCTGGAACCTAGTCCTCAGCCTGGGGACTGACACCACTTTTGGGTAGATAGTCAGAAGTAATTAGAAGACATGCAACTGGTATCTCGGCAGAATCTTTTGCTTGGTTGGTGTGGGGAGGAAGACTCCTTGGCATCATGTATCATTTTCTCCTCTTTTGCTGAGAATCAGAGAAGAAAGTTTGCTTTTTTCTAGGGGTTCCCTTGTGGGAGTCTTTTCAGTCACTGAAATTATAAGATCAGGTCAAGGATGGCAAAATTCTCATGAGATCATTATACTAATAATATTAGGTGGAACAGCACCCTAAAAAACGACATTGTAAAACCTAGATATGCAAATGGGTGGATCTGAGGAAGGAACAAAACAAAACACTGACTTAATGGAGGGTGTGGGTTTAGGGAGGAATTTTTTTTCTTAATTTGGATTTATGGTTAAATTACTTGTGCAATGATCAAGGACACACACAGCCCCTCAAGGAAGCTGATTGTCAATTGTTCCTGCATGAATACAGTCTCAGCACATTGTCTGTTCAGAGGGAGTCAGAGCTGGATGGTTCTGAGGAGGGCTGGATAGGCAGGGCCTGAGGCTTCCAGGGGCCTGAGAACCAGTGGGCTGCGGATAAAGGAGAAGGAGTCACTTACCTCACCGCCTGGTCTGTGGGCAAATGTGGCCTTAAACCACTCCTGTGACTTCAGCCAAGGGGTTGGCACTCTCTCTCCCAGTCACTCCCAATCACAATGTCAGAAGCAGAATGCTCACACCTCACTGTGGCCTTCCTACCTCTAGTGAAGTGAGGGTTTCCCGAGCTCTGGGGTGTCCTGAGCAGAGACTTATGAAGTGTTGGGATCTGTGTTCTCCACCTGCCCTGTCTCAGTGCCTCGCCCCATGTGGGTGGGACATGCAGACACACTGCCCTGCTGTGATCACTGGCAACTAGGTTATTACATTTCCATAGATGAGTGGGGAGGGCTTTAGATGATTGCTGGTACCTACTTCCTGAGGTGGAAGGGATCATAACACACAAACACCCTTTCAGTGTGTGTGTGTGTGTGTGTGTGTGTGTGTGTGTGTGTGTGTGTGTGTGTGCCCAAGCAGAATTAGAGTTACTTACAGGAACATGGGTGAGCAGTATTTAGAGGAGCATGGACAGCTAACCATAGGCCACATAACTTAGGAAAACATCTCCCTTCTCTCCAGCAACCATTAACTGCCAATAACTCTTCAAGGAGGATGGAGCCTCATGAACCCCTTTCTCCTGTAGGACAGAATGTTGACAGGTCTATCTTGTGTGGGTTTTGTAAATTTGCGAGTACAAAGACCCTGCCATACTTGGAAGGCATCCATGTGACACAGCCCTTCCTCTTGTACTTATATTCTTTCCATCCCTTCTTCCAGGATATTCCCTGAGCTTTGGAGAAAATAACCAATATCTTAATTTGAATTCCACAAAACTGTCCATATCTAACATCTATTTAATGGAAAGAACCCAGCCATTTTCTATGGAACAACTAACACATGATATGTGTATTTGTGCAGCAATGTACAAATTAGGCTCCAACTTAGAATTACTGGGGATCTTTTAAAGTTCCTGCCTGGTGTCAACAATATCACAAGTGATTATACTGGCAGGGTTAGGGACCACTATTAGCACAGTGCTGGAGATCTACTGAGGCTCTCAATATCTGCCGTCCCTCCCTTTCATTCGCCTTATTAATCACCTACTGTATGCCATAGGCCTGCCTGTTGTTATCTGGACCTCCCTGCCCAACCCTTTTCATTTCTCGCCTCCTCCACAGTGTCCAGGCCTCGAAGCTCCCCAGATGACTTAAAGACTCTGACGCGGAATGTGAACCAGCTGAATGAGAGCTTCCGGGACATGCAGCTGCGGCTGCTGCAGGCTCCGCTGCAGGCAGACATGACGGAACAAGTGTGGAAGGTTCAAGATGCGCTGCAGAACCAGACAGACTCGCTGTTGGCTCTGGCAGGCTTGGTGCAGCGGCTGGAGGGTACACTGTGGGGGCTGCACGCACAGGCGGCACAGACAGAGCAGGCAGTGGCTCTGCTGCGTGACCGCACAGGACAACAGAGTGACTCGGCACAGCTGGAACTCTACCAGCTGCAGGTGGAGAGCAATCGCAGCCAGCTGCTGCTGCAGCAGCACAAGGGCCTGCTGGACGGGCTGGCGCGCAGGGTGGGCGTTCTGAGTGAGGAGCTGGCCGATGTGGGTGGCGCACTGCGTGGCCTCAACCAAAGCCTGTCCTATGATGTGGCCCTACACAGCACACGGCTGCAGGACCTGCAGGTTCTGGTGAGCAATACCAGCGCGGACACGCGCCGAATGAGGCTGGTGCACATGGACATGGAAATGCAACTTAAGCAGGAGCTGGCCATGCTCAATGTGGTTACCGAGGACTTGCGTCTCAAGGACTGGGAACATTCCATTGCCTTGAGGAACATCACCCTTGCCAAAGGTACATGAGTGACCTAACCCAGTCTATAGTGCCCCCTGCTTGCCCTTCCCCTCCAAAGCTCATGTCAAGGACCCATCCCAGAGTGACAGTTTAAACTCTCATCTTCACTTTTAAGTCTTACACTGTATGAGTCTAGAATGTTCTGCCCAAACAAGTGGAGCTCCAAGGATTGCAAAATTCCACACTTGAACCCAGCCTACTAGGCAGTTAGAAAAATAGGTTTGTTCAGGTAGAGTACATTTGATTTGTTTTCCAAATACAACCGGTTGTGTGCACTCAGGAGAGGGAGGTGGGAAGATCAACAGATGAAGGCCAGACTGCTCTATATAAGTAGAACCTGTATATGAATGAATGAAGTTATTAATGAATGGGTAACTACAGCTGTGATGAAACATCATGGCCAAAAACAAATTGGGGGAGTCTACACTTCCATGTCATAGTCAATTATTGGAGGAAGTCGGGGCAAACACTTAAACGGAGCATGAGCCTGGAGACAGTAGTTGATGAAGAGACTATGGAGGGGTACTGCTTATTAGCTTGCTCTCCATGACTTGCTTAGCCTATTTTCCTATAGAATCCCAAACCACCATCACTGGGATTGCACCACCCATAAGCCCCACAGGCTTGCCTACAGTTTGATCTTACCGAGGCATTTTTCTCAGTTGAGACTTCCTTCTCTCCTATGATTCTAGCTTGTGTCGAACTGACATAAAACCAGCCAGCAAATCCAATAACTTTCAGCCTATAGACCCAATTGTGCTCTTTTCTGATAAACCAGCATCTCTCTTCTCATGGCTGTGGATTTCATGAAATCCTGATTACTATGGACGTCAACACTACTGAAATTGTCCTCTTGAGTCCACCTGGTGCATGTGGGTGTACCAAGGGCACACCACACAGCATCTAGAGATGTGTCACTGTCCCCTTGTGTTGGCATGGGCACTGAGACCCAGGAAGCTTAAGCAGTCTGCCCAGGTTTCAGGGTGAGGTGAGAGTGGAGCCAAGTGTGGATTCTGGCCTTTGTGAGCCCATGTTCCTGTGACCCTGGTGTTCTCTCTGGAGTATTCCCTTTGGTCCTGTCTGTCTTCCATTCCCATACAGAGGTAGATAGAACCATCTCTATCGCTCCATTTCATTTTCGGGCTTGTGTGTTCTCATCATCATGCTGCAGTCCTGTTACGAACATGTTTTCCCACGAGCCTGGTCCCAGAACCACGCCAATAACACACAGAGACGCTGTATTAGATATAATGCTGTTGGCCAGTTATTAGTTTCTTATCGGCTAGCTCTGCCTTAAATATTAACCCAATTCTATTAATCTAAGTATTTCCACATGGTCTTACCTTACTGGAGAGAGGACACTGCGTTCTATTCTCTCCGTCCTCCTCCCAAAACCTCCTTGTCTCCTAGTCCCGCCTATCTTGCTTTCCTATTGGCCAACAGTGCTTTATTCATTAACCAATAAGAGAAATACATTTACAGAACAACATCTCCCATCATCTCCTCTTTTTTTTTCTAAAATAAAAAGAAGGGTTTTAACCCTAACATAGCAAAATATATAACAAAATAGTTATCAAATAAGAACCACAGTTAACAATATTTAGTTTGTTAACATTTAGCAAGATTTAAAGAAAATATTACATCATTTATCCTATCTTTGTGAGTCTAAAGTTTTTAATCCTAACTAAGGAAAACTATAACCATAAATATTTGTCTTCAACTCCATCAAAGACTACAGAAAGATAATATATAAATTCTAGAAATGACAGAGACCACTCACCTGGTCAGTCACCTGAAGTTCTTCTGTAATGTTTCTCTTCAGCCCATAGGCCTTGGCATGTCTGGCAGACTCTTCAGCAAAGCAGGAAACTTTAAATTGTCCATCTGTATTGGCAGTTTGTCAGTAATTTTTCTCTGTGTCCCATAGAATGTCTGGCAATCTCTTCCATGAAGCAGTAACCCTGTAGCAATGTCCATCTTGTTTCAGCAGTCACTTTCCTATGGGTCCTGCATGTCCAGTTTATACAGCTTAAAGTCAAACAGTTCAGACAAGAGCAGTATCTTGCCCAAATGGCTAGTCTTGTCATATTGGAGGCAAACTCCATAACGAGTTTCTTTGATGTCCACCTTCCTTTCTGACACAGGTGGTGTTGCCAGGAGCAGTTGTGCCTCACTGTCAAGAAAAACCCTAAACCATTTTAAATGCCATACTGAGTAGGTCTTTGAAAGGTTTGAAGAATGTCGATTCATCTCAAATACATCTCTGTATATCCAGAAATCCTAACTAACTTAACTATAAGTTTTGACTATTATAGGTAACTATCTATAATCTGTACTAAAGTATACATTACATTTCTAAATGAGCTATATAAACACAATACCTAAACAAGAGAAATATCATATCACAAAATTGACCTTAAATTTGTTATCAATAAATGAAAATCCATTCCAAAACAAAGTATTTATATCTATACCATAATCCCCTTTTTACCTTTAAAGAGATTGGTTGTGGTCATTAACCATTTATAACCAAGCCCATTTAAATGAAAACAAACATTTATAAACAATATTTGGGAATTTGGGTGTCATTCTTTTCAAACTGCTTCCTGCTGGTAGGGGGCACTGTCATGAAGATCCTAAGAACACAGAAATCCTAGCTCTAGTCTGCAAGGCTGCCTTGTCCCAATTGTCTTGAATGCTGGATCACCTGGGACGCTGTTTCAGGGGGTCTGGCTTGATCATACCATGTTAGTCTGGAAGAAAGCCATAGCCTGTGGAAACAAAAATAGAAATTCTTTTCCCCAGTAACCTGTCCTTAAACTTAAATTTTGAAGTCAAAGCATTTTTTAAATATATAAATTGGATTAATTTCGCAGCATCGATAATCAAATGTATTGTAACAATTATTCCTTCCTTAGTAACTGAGCAATTTAAAGACAACATCATCACATACAGTATCCAGATTCTTTGTGTGCTTTCCATCTTCACATGGCTTTTTATCACTCTATTTCTCTCTGTGTAACTTTTGCCTGTCCTGGAATTAACTCTGTATACCAGGTTCGCTTTGAAATCACAGAGATCTGTTTGCCTCTGCCTCCCGAGTGCTGTAATTAAAGGCGTGTGCCACCAATGTCCCAGTTACTCTCTCCAGCTGTTCATACACACCATTGAATTGTTAGCTGTGAGGTTTTTTTGCTGCTTATTATGAGTCAGGAGACCTCCCTTAAAGGAGCCACTCAAACTTCTGTTTGTCTCTAGCAAAACAGAGTCCAACCGAGAAAAATGCTGCTTCCAAGAAACCTTGTTTGTCTCTGTTCTTTTGTTTCTAAACCCCCCTTTTTAAGCTTTTGTTAAGTTTTAAGTGAAAGTTCTCGGGTCCATGTTGCAGCGCCATTTTGTTACGAGCATGTTTTCTAGCCGGCCTGGTCCTAGAGCCGCGCGAGCCCCAAATAACACACTGAGACACTGTATTAGATATAAAGCTGTTAGCCTATTATTAGCATTACATATTGGCTACCTCTGTCTTAAATATTAACCAATTTCTATCAATCTAAGTGTCTCCATGTGGTCTGAACTTACTGGAGAGAGGATCCGAAGTTCTACCCTGTTGGTCCTACATGTTAAAACTCCTCCTCCCTCTCCCCAAAACCTCCTTGTCTCCTAGTCCCACTTATCTTGCTTTCCTATTGGCTAGCAGGGCTTTATTCATTAATCAGTAAGAGAAACATTTATAGAATGACATCTCCCATCACAGTCCCTTTTCTGAACTTCCACAGTGAGCACAGGAGGCTATAATCACCCTGGAGACCTTCAACAGTGCATATCCATAGTGTTCTTGTATGCTTCCTTGTTTTTCTATACTGCTATTGGAGTGGCCTTCCTGTCACAATTCTATCTAATTCCCCTCTAAACACACATCTACACATATACATACATGCTTATACATACATTTATAAACACATAAATACACTTGAATGTATAACTCACATGCACAGACACATTCATAAACACAAGTACCTGCACAGATAGTTTGCAAGTGTTTATACGTACATACACAGACATGTACATACAAAGGTATATGCATGCACAAGCACATATATAGACACTTCCATGCATAACTCAGGAGCATATACATGTTCATATGCACAAACACCTGCATACAATTCACATGTCCACATATGAACAAACACACATATGTAAATGCATAAGTAATGGTACACAGATATACACATAGACACCTACATGCATAACTCACACATATGCACACATGCAGACAGGCACATATACAATACCTTCCCCTTTGCTCTCTTCTGGCTCAGAATCCACAAATACTCAAGTGCATGTGTTTTTCAGAGTGCCTTTACATTATCCTTGAGCTTGCCCCAAATGGTTTTCATTTTCTCACTTTGCTGTGCAGTGTTCTACAGATTTTTATTCCAGTTCATCTTTCATGGACACAATGAGGTCTTACAAAATCTGTCTGTGGGATTTAAAGGCACAGAGAACTTAGGTTATCAGAGAGAGAGAGAGAGAGAGAGAGAGAGAGAGAGAGAGAGAGAGAGAGAGAGAGAATGTTATTCCTGGGGAAAGAAGGAAAATCAGAGAGGGGAGCTATGCCAGAAGACGATATTGGTGCAGCAAGCCTTGCGGCAGGCCACCCATCCATACACAGATAGCTGAAATGCAACCCTTCTAAATTCTTTGGGATGGGAATTGGACTCTAAAATCATCTGGTCTAATCCTCCTACATCACGGTGGAGAGCCACAAGGCCCCTAGAGGGGAAATGACTTATCCAAGTCAAATGTCAAGCCAGATGTAGAAAGCACACCTCTTGATTAATGAAAACAAGTTTTCAAAGCAGTTCATCTGGCAGCTGCTTTATTTTCTAGAGAAAACGCCGTCTAGTGGGTGGAGGAGGGAGTCCTCCTCAGTGTGGGGAGTTAAAGAGTTGGGGCTGGACTCTAGGTCAGCCAAGGGGACTCTGGCTTCCAATTAATAGACGTGGACCATTGCTGTGAACTTGTAAAACAAGTATTTCTGCCCTAGAAGGACTGGGGTATGTGTATAGGTCCTGGGTGGGTTATATGACCCTCTGTCCTCTTACCTTCCTCAAAGTGAATGCAGGATACTGTGAGAAGGTAGGTAGCAGCTTCTTAGAGATGCTGTTCTCTTGGCTATGGAATGGAGCTGGCAGTCTCTGCCCTGTTCTTTTCTTAGGTCAGAATGTTTTGATTGAGGAAGGAGACATCCTGTGCTCTTATGTTGTAGAAAGAGTGGATGCCTCAGGGCCCTGTAGCTTTGGGAAACTGAGGCAGAGCAATCAGTGGCTGGGTCCATGTGGGCTCAGATGGTAGGCAGAACGTGTCCCAACCCCCTCCACACTGTGATCTACCTCAGAAAAAGTAAATAAAAACACGTGACTATAAAAATCTGAGAAGTAAAAAGGCACATTGGCAAGGCTAGCCACAACTGAGGCTGTAACCACATATACTGCCCCAAGGTCACCTCAGAATGCCAGCTGTGGGTTGACATTTGGAGCCCTGGGCCCTGGCAGAAGAATTGAAGAGGGAAACGGGGTGAAGTGTATGGGGTGGGTGGGATTTATCAGCAGAGGTCTGTGCTAGGTTTCCTTAGCTGCTGAGTTGACCTGGAGGGGGAACTTCTGGATTCCAGATGGGAATGGGGTACAGGGTGGGGGTGATGGACTCATCTGCATCTTAGCTCTGCCTTTCGTTAGCTGTGCAATCCTTAATAAAACAGGTTTCATGTCTTGATCCTGTTATCTAAAAATTGGGATCAAAAATAAGATGATGCCTAAAAACTCCAGCTTTCCCTAAATGCTTTATGTAACTCGTGAATTTAAAAAGTGTTGGCTACTTTTTCCTTGCTCTTGTGCCATTGAGTTGTTAAATAGCTGTCAACTTTGGTTAAGGTCTGAAGACGGTGCCAACTTTTGGAATGTATCAGTACATCTCGATCTTGGCAGCCTGGTTGTTTTGTATGTATCAACACCCTGTGATCTCATATACTCATTCATTTGTCTAATATTGATTGTGCAAGACACTGGTCTGCTGTGAGCCTACATGTTTTGGTTTCCTGAGAGAACACCACAGACTGGGGCTAAAAATAACAGTTTATTGTCTGGAGATTGCAAACCTTTAACGGAGGCATCAATAGGATCCCGTCACTCTGACACTTAGAGGGAGGCTCCTTCCTGTGTCTTCTGAACTTCTGATGGCTGGGCCAATCTTGGTCTGCAGATGCCTTGTTCCCACCTCTGCTTCCATTGTCCTGTGCCTCTGTCAATTTACAGGTCTCCTGTCCCAAGAATAGGGTCCACCCCACTCCACTGTGAAGCTTAACTAATCACATCTGTAGAAACCCAATGTCCTAAGAACGGGACATTGAGGAGGTTCTGGAGATGGATGAGTTGGGAGTACTATTCAGCCAGTAGAGCAAGAGGTAGGTGCTTGCAGCCTGGGTTCGCAAGCAGGGTCAGGTACTCAGGATGCCATTGGGAAATAGAAAAGAAAGAAGACAGGACAAGGCTGTGTGAGAGCTGCATCCAAATACCCCAGGTCTGCTTCTCCAGCGTGGGCCCATACCAGCAGGAACTATGGAGCCGAGGAAGGTCACGAGCAGAGTGATAAGAAGCATCCCCAGCTCATGGACATATGAAGTTAACAGGGAGGGTTTCTGAGCTCACCAGCTTGGGAACAGCAGGTGCCAGAATGAGGGGCAGGAAGGTGGGACGGGTGAAATGTGTGGCCTCATGGATGGCAGAAAGTATAAGTGCCAGGCAGACCTGGACAGAGATCGTGGCCCCTTCACTGGCTGGCTGCATGTGTGGTCTCAGACAAGTAACTTCAACACATGGCATAGGCATAGAGACTGGATTCAGTCATGTATACTTGAATCTCTGCCACGCTGCAGCTTCTCCTGGAAGGAAGCCCTACTCACAAGCAATTAGAAACTTATCCTCCACCCAGGTGCCCAGCTGGAAACTTGAGCTTATCCTGGCCTCCTCCCCTGCTACCCCAGGGGAAGCCAAAAGCTGTCCTGCTTTCTAAACAACTTAGCCATCTCCCCAAGTCTGTGATGGCCACTTTCCTAACCCAGGGCTCTTCCACCTGAATGGACCATAGCTTCTGTCTTCCTGCCTCTCACCCTCCTCCTGTTCCAGCCCTCTGTCACACACAGCCCAGCCATCTCCCTCCCTTCCTTGCATGCAGACCTGATGTGGCTCTCCCAACAGCCCTTTCGAACGAAGGCTTCTAGCCGCTGTCAGGGTCAAGTCCAGCATCTAGGCCTCCAATACCCCCACCTTCCCAGCCCACTGAGCCCCTGCTGATAATTTCACCATGGCTGCATCATCTTTGCCTGAAGTTCCTACAGGGATTGCTTCCTCTCCCCGCGCTCTCCCTTTTCTCTCTGCCTTGTTTTAGCTCACACCACTGAAATGGAGGCTGAGGGGCTTAGACCACGGGCATTTCTTTCCTTCCGGTTCTGCAAGCTGGAAGGCTGAGTTCAGGGTACTAGCATAGTTGGGTTCAGTTGAGGGCTTCCTTTCCTGGTTATTGTATTCTGGTCTGGCAGAGGAGGTGGGGCAGAAGGGGACAGGAATGAAGGTAGAGAAAAGGCATACACAGGTGCTAGTGCCAAGCTCAAAGGTGTCAGACAGGAGGTGGGAGGTTTATGATGTAGCCGAGGCTGGCCCTTAAGCTCACTATCCTCCCACATCTGCCTCCTGAGATAGTGCTAGGGCTAAAGAGGTGCTCTACCATACCCGACCTTCCTCATTATATGAAGCCACTAATCCCATTGAGAAGGGCCCATCCTCATAATCTCACATAAACCCAGTCTCCTCCTAAAGCCCCGCCTTTCCAAACCATAACCTTGGGGGTAAGAACTTCAACATATGGATTTGAGAGGGGCAGTAATAGCCCTGAATGCCCTCTACCCTTCTTACTTAGCTAGCGTCTGTTTCTTGAGGCTTCACAGAACCTCCCCTGGTGTCCCCCAAAACTGAGTAACTGGCATTTATGTGCTTCCAAAGAAGAATTCTGGATCTTCCTCTCATCCCAGAGGGAGGCTGTTTGCTTTCTGCACTGATATCCTGGCTTTCCAACCCACTAATCTTGTTGTTATCATCTTTCAGGGCCACCAGGACCCAAAGGTGACCAAGGCAATGAAGGGAAGGAGGGAAAGCCAGGTACTCCTGGATTCCCGGGACTTCGAGGTAATGGCGCACCCTAGGAGGAACCTGGAGAAGTGTTTCAAGTCCATCCCTGACCCTCTCTTCTTAGAGATAACAGACTTCCATTGTTCTTCCATTGGGTGACTAAGAAGATGTCAACCAACATAGAATGGGCCAAGTACTTTTCCCTAAGAAGTAGCAGGATCTTAAGGGAAGAACACACAAGAATCCCCAGGTCCCCTACGCCACTGCCCACATAAGAATCAAGTGTTCTATGATTCTAGGAGCCTGACATTCCCCTGCCCCATCTCACTTCCTGATGTCCGATTCCCCATGGCTGGTGGCAGGAGGGGGGGGGATTTAGGACCTTCTAGAAGATTATATTCTTCCTCGGCTCATAGTCTTAGACGTTTCTTATCAGGGCCCCTATCAAACATGGGAGTATGCCCATTTCTGAGCCTGTGTGGCCTGTGTGGCATGTAACATTCCTATGAGTGAAGAGGCTTCAAAGTCATGCAAGGATAAGAAAGCCTCATGAGGAAAGTTCTGGTGATTTATTTTAGGAATTATCCCTGCCATATCTCTAGGTACATTTCAGACAGAGGAGAGAAGACAGGGCATGAGGGGGATCTCTCCAGCCTGATCTCCATTCTGTCCTCAGCGCCATGGCTGAGGATGCCTTGAGGCTCTCAGGACAGTGGAGCCACTTTTCCTGCCGGATGAATCATAGGGCGAGGAGCTTTGGGCACATCTTGCATTAGGCACAGAGCTCAGATGCCACAGGACTCTTAGACTCTGGGAACAGATGCATCATGTCAAGAAGGAAAGAAAGACATTCCACCAATTTCTTTGACGTCCTCACACCCTTGGGAGGCCATTGTCCTTTCCCAGTCATTTGATATTAGCCCCAGGGTAATGGCTGGGAGATAGGTTTTCTTTTGCTGTGGAAAAAAGCTCAAGGAAAACCAGCTTGCTCTCCAAGCAGGAAAGAACAATTAGGCAGCTGATTATGAGAGCTGTGTTCTGCAGCTATGACTAGACTTGGGTCAGGACTCTTGGGGGGCCTTGGGCTCTTGCTCCATAAAAGTGTTTGTTGATTCTGGCTCACCATGGTGCCTTCAGTGCAGGCTGTAGCCACCAGGTCTGGTGGCCAAGAACCTAGAGCACAGCGACTATGCACCCATTGACTAGTTCTGTGGATGTCCTCTAGTTTTGGCCCTTAGTTTGTGGAAAGAAAGGGAGTGTTTTGTTTTGTTTTTCTTTAAACAGGTTGAGGCATTACCTCACCCTCCTCACTCATTAATGCCATCCCTATAACATCCTCTCCCTAAGGACCAGCAAGCCCCTTAGCCTAAAGTACCACATGATGTTGACCAATCATGAACTTTCTGTAAGAAGGAACAAGGCTCAGATCCTGCCCCCAAAGCCCTTTGCTGTGTGTCCAAGTGCCTTACCATCCATGAGTCTCAGTTTCCTTATCTGTAGTGAGTGAAATAATACCTTCATGCATGCCATGAGGATTAAATGAGATTCTTTATGCCTGGCACACAGAAAGTCATCTAAAAGATGTCTGTGGAATTTACAAGTCTAGCATGCTTATGGGTATCGGGATGGGACTGGAACTACTACCATCCACTCATAGCACTACTGGGCCTTTCAAGGATGAAGGGCCAGGGAAGGGTGATAAAGGTACATATGGGGATGCCCTGAGATGACCTGCAGGATGCCAAGCAAGAGGGAGCCTAGCCTATAGAAGCCCAAGTTCACATCAATCATTAAACCGGACAGTGGCATCGAATGGATCTTTCAGTTCTGGGTCTGCAGCTCCACCCTTGTCTCTTCTCACCCCAGGTCTGCCCGGAGAGAGAGGTACCCCAGGACTGCCTGGTCCCAAGGGTGATGATGGGAAACTAGGGGCCACAGGCCCCATGGGCATGCGTGGATTCAAAGGTAATATTGAAGTTTGCTGTACCCTGAAGCCTCACATACCTTCTGTCCTTCAGCAGCTCTGGAGTGGGTGGGCCAGCGATCACACACAGCCTCTGCCATCCAACAGAGCTGTGTGTGTGTGTGTGTGTGTGTGTGTGTGTGTGTGTGTGTGTACAGGTCACAGCCCAGGAGTCTCTCAGAACAAAACGAGACTGCAAGCCCATATCACCCCCTCCTCACTAGTTACACCAGCCTCCTCTCCTTCTGCAAGACTCTTTATGTGTCCCCTGGTGCTTACAACTTTATTTCATTTCTCAGGTTTATTTGCCAACACTGTTTCTTCTTTCTGTGGCTAGTCCCCTTGTTCATTTTTAGGGGAACCTACTTCAGAGTCAGATTCCTATGGTTCCCTTTTCATTTAGGATTGTCAGACTGGCCAGGTGCAATGATGCACACCTTTAATCCCAGTGCTTGGAAAGCAGTGGCTGGTGGATCTCTGTGAGTTCCAGGCCAGCCTGATCTACATAGTGAGTTCCAGGCCAGCCAGAGCTACATAGAGAGAGAGACCATGTCTCATATATATATGAGATGTCAGCAGACCTGATAAATGTGTGTGTGTGTGTGTGAGAGAGAGAGAGAGAGAGATGTTCTATTTATAGGCCACCCACATTTCATTAATTACCACAATAACTAAGAAAAAATACTGCTTATCATTCCCACCTTGCATCTGGGAGGTCTCCTGAACATGGATCATTGGAAAATCATATTCCACTCTCTGGTGATAAAATACACTGGGGTTTTTCTTTTGTAATCCTAATTTGAAAATATATAGTTTTTTAAAGAGGTCCCTGCTTATTAAAAAAAACAACTAGATAGTACAGACATGTCCAAGGGGTCCAGTAACTAGGAAGTCCTTTCTTTGGCTCTCACTCTTCAGAGTGAGCACTTTGAACTCTTTGGAGCACACACTGTTGGATGTTTCCCTAAACGAGATCAACCATGTATGTGGTTGGTTTGTTTTGCTTTGTTTTCCAAGCCTGGGATCACAGTAGATACTCTCTCTCCTGGCAGTTTGCTTTCTTCACCCCAAGTATGCAGATATGCTGGGCTTTGTCTTGCAGATGTGTATCTGGAAAACCATAAAATAGAACCACCCTTGCCTTTCTAATGCCCACTGAGCAGTGCCAGGACGTTCTCCTTCTTTATTGGGTAAGCAGGAACTAGGAAAAGTTCTGATCTTTTACCCCAAGCCTGGAAAGGAAATTCCACAAGTCCTTGGAAACTCTGCCTTTTGTTTTACAGTTTTCCCTACTAGGAAAAGCAAAACAAAACAAAAAAACAGCCTGACTTATAACCTATCTCTGTAGACAACTGGAGGTCAGTCTCCTTCCACGTGGTGACTGCGGGGATGAACTTGAGTGTGAATTTCTTCAATTTTGACAAACTGTTTCATGGCCCATCTGCCCCATTCCAGGCAGCCGTTGATGTTGTGTGGCAGATGGGGTGCTCTTGTACTTTGACTAGAGGGGGAGGTAGACTTACTCTTTCCCTGCATGGCCAGAGCAGATGTCATAATTTTCTTTCCCACAGTGCCCTCTGGTGGATGCTGGCTCCTGCCTGCGAGTTTCCCTAGCTGTGGGTTAGCAAATCCAAAGATAACTTCTTAATAGCAAAGTAGGGTTTGCTTCCACTCATAATGCCCATTTTCCCTCTGTTGCAGGTGAGCGAGGCCCAAAAGGAGAGAAAGGAGAGAGAGGAGAGATACACGGTAAGGGAGCTCTGCTGGGTTACTGAATGCTAGGGGATATAGTGGACCCCTATAAGGTCAAGAGTCAGGTGCTGGAGCCATGCTCTGGGATTTGAACATCAAAGAGCTTCCCTTTTTTTCTTTTCTTTTTAGCCGCCACTGGCCCAGCAATAGGTACCAACAAATCCTAGGGGTGTTGTCCTGAGCTTGTATGGATGGATCTAGAGGTTTCCTCCCAGAAGTACCACTAGCTGCCCATATACAACCTTTGGGTGCCCATGTATCCATCTATAAAGTGAAGAGAATAAGAGTCCTGAGCTCTTAGGGCCATGGTGAGAACTGACCAAGTTGGTCCATGTATGACAGAGTCTGGATGCACGATTCAGGGCTCATGACGCATTGGCCATTAATATTCCATTGCCATACACCAACTCAGACAAACTTCCTAAATCACTGGAGATGTTTGATAAAACTCAGTTTCAGGCTTTGCAGAAACAGCTCATGCAATGCTCAGGGGAGGCTAAGTGGAGCCTCTTCGGCCATCTTTGCTACTTCTGGGGCCATGGGGCTAAAGACCTTTCTCTGGCAAACCATGCCATTTTATGTGGGAATGGGCACCTCTGCTGAAACCCTTCCTGTAACAGTGGCAAGCTGAATGATCTAGCTGGACCACATTTCTATGAGGTGTATTTCCCCCAAAGTGCTACATGTAGACTCAAGGGAGATTGCCTTCTAGCCAAGTTTCAAATAAGGACAGAACACCCAGCCCATGGTGTGATTGGCTCTGAGTCAGGAGGGCATGGGTACCTATGCTCTGGGCATTGCTGTCGGGGATGTGGCTGGGGTACAGGTGCTGGGGAAGTACAATCTGGAATAATACTGAAGACCTCCCCCAAAGGACAGGGTGGCAAATGCCTCCTCCTGAGCTTAGCATGAGTATTTGTGACAGAATACTGCTGAGATGGCTAAGAAGGACTGGACTGTGGCATTCAGCTCTGAGAAATAAACAACTTTGTGGGGTTGGACAGGAAAGGAGGAACTGTGTGGAAAGATGACCTTTGAGTGTGAGATCAGAAATGCTGTCCACATACCAGAGGGGTCTCATCAGGAACGGTCTGTCAACTGTTCTCTTAGCTGACTTGAGAACCCACACAGAAGGTCACAGCCAGGAGAGTAAGCATGGTCACTATCATCCTGGACAGAACTTGGGCTATGAGGCTGAGGAGGAAGATAAAGCTGGATGGCATGAAGTTCCCCGGCTAGAGGCTAGGGAAGAGCACCGCCCACCCACTTAACCTTACAGTCCATGGACTGTCCAGCCAGGGGCTGACATCAGTTCTGGATGTGTTTCCCAGGGAAGGGAAGGTTTCTTTCCTGTCTTGAGGAGACTACATCCAGACTGGAGTCCAGGGATCATACAGAAAGCCTAACCACAGCTTGTACAAAACTCTTCAAAGACCCCAGAAACGGTCTCCTTCTGTCATAGAACTAGAAGGTGAGTGGGCTTGGCAGGCTAGAAGCTTTATCACAGTGTGAGGAAGGGCACAGACAAGAATTCTAGAACTGTGAGACTGGGAGACTATCATTTACCTTCCCCAATATTACAGTCCCGGGACTGAACACTGGGGCCCTGGCTTTCCTGAATCTGGAATGAAAAGTCAGGCCACAATCTTGGGACAGTGAAGTCTTGGATGGCAGGGCTGGGTTCCCCAAGATTCCTAGTGAGTCCCCCCTCCCACTTAGTGCTAGAGATGCTGACAGAAGGCCCAGACTGGAACCACCTTTGCCTTGATTCTGAACTGAAGTCTGAATCTGTGATGAAGCAGGGTTGCCTTCCCAAAGCCTCAGCTTCCTAGGTTGCTTCAGGCCAAGCCAAGCCATATGTAGACTCCTGCTGTGTTTCCATAGCCCTCCTGTCCCTGAGGTATTAGTTATATCCATGAGACCCAACCTCTGATGAGTGGCCCACAGCTCATCTTTCAGAACAGCGTGGAAATTCTGACGACACAGTGCCTACAACTGGGCTTTCTTAGTCATTCCCTGGGCCTGGCAGTCCCACTGTGGGATAGATGGAGTAGGAAGTGTGGGTTCTCAGTACCAGATAACCTCAAAACTCTGAGTTGGTGATGCAAGGCCAGATCCTCAGGCTGAGTTCTGGCAACTGGTGCCTTTGCCACAGGCTTAAAACCTTCACCGAATGCCTGTATTGCAAATACCCAAGGTTCCAACAGGAAGTGTTACTATATATTCTTGACAACATCAAGGGGACATTTCTCACTGGCTAGTGGACAATGCATGGTATTAGAGAAAACTCCTGGGACCATGTTTGTGGCCAGTGTTAAGATGTTTTTTTAAGAACAAAAATCTTACCGGTGTTTACCCATATTGAATCTGGAGTCCTGGGATTTGGGATCTGGGGGTTTGGCTAGATTTCAGGTCACTTCCTGTTTCTTTCCCAGCTCCACCCGAGCAGGTCATCCAACTGAGACCAAGAACAGAGAAGGAGAGGGATTCCAAGGTTACCCGCTTAGATGATGGCTGACTGCACTGGGGCTGGAATCCAGATCTCTGGGTGTTTTTCTTGATGAGAAGTAAAGAATTTTATTTTCCTTCAGGCCTTAGACATCAATCATCCCATTAAATACTTGGCTTTCGAAGATTTGGCCAGGGAAAAAACAAAATTCATATGCACATCTCAAGGAATACAAACATTTGTTTTACCTTGGTATATAGTCTGTTTGCAAGATAAATATATATGTGTGTGTGTGGGTAAAGTTTTATTTAAATCCAAGGCCATGAATTTTAAGCAGTGTATAAGTTCAGATTGCTTATTTTTTTCCCTAAGTTTGGCCTCACATGAGGAAAAAAAAAAAACTGCAGCTAAATGTGAGTAAATCCCAAGAAAGTATTAGTAGTTATCATTGGAAGTTCCGAAAACTGGGGAAGTGCTTAATAGTATGTGTGTGTGTGGTTTTTTGTTTGTTTATTTTGTTGTTGTTGTTTTGTTTTGTTTTGGGTTTTTGTTTGTTTGTTGTTAAGTAAAGGGGACCCAGACAGACAGACAGACACACACACTCTCTCTCTCTCTCTCTCTCTCTCTCACACACACACACACACACACACACACACACACACACACACCAGCAATGTTGAGCTCAAATGGACAAGGGATGACTCAGTGACTAAGAATGCTTGATGGAGGCCCATGTAAGAGGCTGAGTGTGTCTGCGTGCACATGTAACCCACTGTTGTGGGGGTGGAGACAGGAGGATCACTGAGGCCTGGTGGTTGCCAGCCTAGATCCAGATTCAGGGAAAGGTCCCATCTCAAGGAGAAACACTGGAGACTGTCAGAGCCTTTGGCCTCTGTGCCTATGTGGGTGCGTGCACATACACCCCACACACAGAACGAATGAGTGATCAAAGGAGGGAGATTCCAGACAGTTTCCCCATGATTGCTGAGATGTTGCTACTTCTATTTAATATAAAGAAGGGGAAGGGACTCCTTGAAGTGTATAGATTCCCATCCTCCCATACCTGGGCCTTGGAGACTTTGTTTAGAATAATGTCACACCAAAAGCTAAACTTATCTCAGGCCTGAAGAGATGGGACTGTCACTTTTTTTATGGGCACTTTGTTAACCATGCATATAACCTAAAATCCTTGTGTGACTCGAATGTCTCGGCAACAATGTGATTTAAGGAGAAACCATGGTTCTAAGAAAAATGGGCCACTTACATGACACTGCTAACATTCGCTCTCCCTGGTAAGTAGGAGAGAGATTCTGGAAGCATCCATTTCTTGGTTTTTCACAGTGGTCTATAAGAGACACAGTTACACCCATGGTAGAGAGAGGAGGGAAATGGGGGTTGAGAGGAACCTGGCCGTCACTGGCATTCTTCCTAAGGGAAGTCCAGGACACGAATGAGGCCTGTCTGGTTTGGGGTCTACACACCAAGCCTTCTGCTACCGTCTCTGAATCAGCCCAGGTCTTCTTGGGCCATGATGTCCATCCTTCATAGTTCGGGTGGAAGGTGCTAATTCCTTCCTCAGCAATTCTCAGTTACTTTTAAAGAATCTGCTCTGTTTGGTCTGCACTTTGCCAAGCTAAGACTGTCCTTACCTGCCTCTGTGTCTCTGAGCATTGTTCAGACATATGCAGGACAGGCTCTGGATGTGTTAATCAAGACCTTCTGCCTCAGACCCTTGGCATGCTTCCTGACAATGGAGGTGGACAGACACCCTGAACACAGAGGCATCTGCATTTATCTGTAGTGTTTACTCACTCATTCATTCAGGGTAGTTATTCAACAATTCATTCATTCTCCTGGTCCTTCTGGTGTCTGGTAATGCCTTGACAAAAGCAGTCTCTCTCTCTCTCTCTCTCTCTCTCTCTCTCTCTCTTTCTCTCTCTCTCTCTCTCTCTCTCACACACACACACACACTAAAGCTCACATCTAGCAACTGAAAATATGTGGGGAATACCACATTTCATTCAGGAAAATTGGCTTGAAGCAAAATGCAAGATGACAGAGAGAAATAACAAGGACACTGTGAATGAGGCATGTGGAGACCAAGATGAAAGAGAGCAGGGATCAGGACACAGAGACCAGGGTGGAAATGACTTTGAAAAAGAGTAGAAGCTGGAGAAAATGAGAGGCTCCTCAGAGAGTGGGAACTGGCCTCCCTTATTTCTATCAGGATGAGAAGGTAGGTATGCAGATGGAAGGAAAGCATGAGTGAAGGGAATACACGTGGATGAGTGAAGAGAATACACGTGAGTGAAGAGAATACACGTGAGTCAGTGAAGAGAATACACGTGAGTGAAAGAAATACACATGAGTGAAGGGAATTGAATACACATGAGTGAAGAGGTGCCGATTCCTTTGGCAAACGTCTACTGAGTCTTCAAGCCAGGAACTTCCATCTAGCAGGAGAAGAGAGACTTGTCAACAGTACAGGTGTCCTTCAGAAGAGCTATGGTAGAAGTAGGGACAGTCAAAGAGGAGCTCTGACCCAAAC